GATCTTTACTTAATATCCTAATGATTTTTGGCATAAAAGAAAAATCAATAATTTTGGCCCATACAATGTATTTTTGGCTATTGCTACAAATATCCCCCAGCGACTTAAGACTGGTTTTGTGGTCCAGGGTCACATATTGTTTTACTGCAGTGATTTACAGTGTGTATAGAAATGTTCCCCGCCTGACGGCTGCTTTTAGACAGGATTATGAAAGAGAAAGCAAGCCACTGAAACGGACAGTCCTCAAAACCTTATGTGCGGCAGTATATGACCCCTATCTTGGTTTCTCCTTCTCACGGCATTCACGAGCTTTTAAAAACAGTCTCTCAGCAGAGAGAGAGAGAGAAAGCAGCTAGAATAAAGACAAAACTCAACTCTAACCTTTACTGCACTATACACTTTACTGCTAATACAAATTAGCAAATTCTAGCATAATACTTTGAATTATGTATTAAGCAGCTAATAAAATAGAAGTTCACCCACAAATTACAAAACAGAAAAACAAATAAACTGATTGCAAATTTAGGAGAAAAAGACAAAATCAAAAGGTTAAGATAAGATGAGATAACAGGAAAGAAAAAATCTAGATCAAAGTTCTCACCAGTGGTTTGACGCCAGGACAGGGCTTTCGTTTTGCGCAATGTGGTATAAGGCACTCATAGCATTCATATTGAACAAGGGTGGCTTCCTTTCAGCTAGAGAGAAAGACAAACAAATATAAAATCAGTGTGCAAACACACAGAAAAATAAGTCAAAAGTCAGAAGAAAAGGATGAGAGACCAGAATTAGTGCTGCAATGAAACAGAAAGACTAAGAGGTATGAATGAATAAATGAAAACGCTGGGAGGTTGAGGAAAGAGAGGGTGAGACCAAGAGAAAGAGTGGAAGTTAGCTTACAACCCAAAGCAGCTTAGACACTAAAGCCCAAATCCCGTTCCATAGCAAAAGACATAGACACAACACAGAGTCACGAGCAGCGAAACACGCTGGCCTAAATAAACCCCCTTAATACCCGACATGACCTGAAGTTTCAGGGGTCAGTGGGAGGTGGGAAGTCATGGATCACTTTCAAACCATCACAAACCTAGTTCGATGCAGGTGATGCCAAGAGACCAGACGTCCACCTTCCCATCATACTGCCCCTCGTCCATGGCTAGAATCACTTCTGGGGCCATCCTAAACACGAGAGGGGACGGATCATGATAAACAGGACTGTCTTTGCTCTTTTGAAACAAATAAAAGCACTATCTACTATGCTCAGACATTTTAATATTCACAATGCAGGTTCTTCCCAGTTCACCCAGTCCATTTATGGACAAAAGACTATGCCTATGGCAATTTAAAACAAAGATTTTATGGCCAGCAATGTGACTGCTACAATAATTTTAATGTGCTTTTTATTTGGCCATGAAATGTGTTAAAAGCTTGTTTTGCAATCCCTGTCATGACTTACATGAATGAAGTGTTAAAGGCATAGTTCACCCAAAAATAAAAATTCATTAATTGTCATTAATTACTCTCCCTAATGTCGTTCCAAAACCGTAAGACCTTTATTCAATGATTTCTTCTTTTCTGGATCAGTCCGCCACCATTCACGACAGTACCACAACATCAGCAGCACCACAAGCATGAGTCATGATACTCTCGAGAATGGCGGCAGAGACTCACCCGGAAAAGAAGAAATCCTTGAATAAAGTCGTTATTTTTGTTTTCTTTGTGCACAAAAAGTATTCTTGTAGCTTCATAACATTACTGTTGAATCACTGATGTCACATGGAACTTTTTAACAATGTCCTTACTACCTTTTTGGACCCTGAACATGGAAGTTGCGTTGCGGTCTATGGAGGGTCAGAAAGCTCTCGGATTTAATCAAAACTATTTTAATTTGTGTTGTGAAGATGAACAAAGGTCTTACGGGTTTGGAATGACACCCATTACCCAGGGTAATTAATTAATGACAGAAATTAAATTTTTGGGTGAACTATCCTTTTAAGACATTTCAATAGCATCTCGAATTTAAATTTTAGAAGCATAAACTGTGCTAAAAGTAGTAGATTCAGTTCATCTATCCAAACTAGTTCAAACACTAGTTTAAATATTAGTTCAGTGATTCAGTTCAAAATTCTGAATCTGAAATTTGTGTGTTGTCACTCAAAATGTTAATCTCGGTCTCTGTTAGTCTCTGTGAGGTGCATTAAAAGTGTCTTTGAAACTACTGTTTTAAGGTTTGGGGTTGGTGAGAAAATAGTTTTAAAAGAAGTCTCTTATGCTTACCTAGGTTGCATTAATTTGATTAAAAAAAGAGCACAAGAAACATTATTATGAACCTAATCTTACTATTATTTGGAAATGGTTGTGTTACTCAATATTATTGCGGAAACTGATACCATTTTTCAGGATTCTTTGATGAATTCAATGTTTACATGAATAGCATTTATTTGAAATATAATTATTTTGGAACAATGCAAGTGTGTTAAAGGCACAATATGTAAGACCACTAGAACAGTTATATATATATTTTGCTGACTTGTGTACTTACATTATCCCAAATGTTTCGAAGAATGTTTAAATCCAGAGAAATAAGCAATTTTAACTAGTGACACGGACCGTGTCCATAGTGTCATTGTGTCGCCTGCCAATGACGTAACCAACCGATTTCCAGTTTTGTTTTGTAGAAAACATGGAAAAACCAAAGACGCTTTAATATG